TGACGTGTACATAATACTGATTACAATATTTCTTCAATTTATAACATCTAACTAAATATTCATGGTTTAATAGCTGTGGCAGCGGGTTAAGTGAATTCAAAGTTTTATTGGTATTATAACATTTTCCCCTTCCCCTTAACGTCATAACATACCCAGTGATTTATCAGTTTCTATATTACATAAATAAAAAATACATGGTCGGGGCCTGGGTCATTCCGTCGCTTGGTGTACGTCGATCTAAATAGTTAGTTTCGTATATTCGCGCAAGCTTTGGGGACACGAGTTTCGTATGTATTACCGAGTTTGCGTAATATACGCCTTTTTACCAACCGATCGAGCCCATCGTGGATTTCATCTGCTAATATCCAAATGGTTTAACTGATCCAAAAAATGACTTCGCTAGAAGAGGGATTAAAGCAAATTAAGATCTTAATAATTGCCGGTAAAATCACTGGATTTTTTTTCCTTTCTATAACTGATATACGATTTTACTATCGGAAAATAACTCAGTAACACAAATATCCAAAACCTCCATAAAAAATTCTTTATGTTGCTAACAAAACTGAAACCTAATTCTAAAGATATCATGAGTGCATATTCCATGCAATGCAAGTTATATGTTTGACTCTTATATGGGCCGGGTGTGGTATAATGATTAGCATGCTGGAGTGTGATTTCGAAGCTTCGGGGTTTGCGAACCATTTCCGGAAAAACGCGGTCCGCACTTTGGGGCCGTAAGTGCGTTGTTCGAGTGATGGATAAATCTCATTATTCGATTATAGTAGCCTAAGGGTTGGCGGCGGGTCCTTGTTGACCAGATGCCTTCCCTTTAGTCTATCAGTTCAAAATTAGGGACGGCTAGGGAAGACAGCCCTTGTGTAGCTTTACGCGAATATCCGGAATAAGCAGGCATTTTTATGTAAAGGAAGAGAACACAGTGTGTGTGTGAGTTGTGTATATAAATATATGTGTATACACACACGCATTAGTTAGTGTAAGTTTGTTTTTATGAGTTATGTCTGTAAATAGGTGTGTATTTCTCGTGCGATAATCTGAAGCTAGCTTTGTTTCTCGTACCACTAACTCACTATAACGCCCGTATCACGTACCAGTGGTTGTTTCTCGCACCACTAACTCACTATAAGACCTGTATCATGTACCAGTGGTTGTTTCTCGTACCACTAACTCACTATAAGGCCTGAACCATGTACCAGTGGTTATTTCTCGTACCACTAACTCACTATAAGACCTGTATCATGGGGGGAGGAACAGATATGAACCTACCCTCATGTCACCTTCTAGAATCTCCCCGAGTTCCCCTTGCGTTGAAATAGTACAGTACTTCCTACACTACTTCCTACAGTACAATGAACAAATTTACTAAAGGAAAGCAATTTTTAACATGATAAACAACAGCTTGTCAACCCATAAGTGTAACCATCGTCAGGATACGGTTGAACAATGTCACCTGTTGATGGCCCTACTCCTATGGATTGAAACACTGTTGGGATTTTAAAACTGCATTTCCATTGTAAAACAGTTTATTATACTTCAGTGATTTACCAATAGGGGATACTCACTTCAGAATTATCTTTAAAACAATATACAATATGATATCATGACGTCACACTAAGTGAACAATCAGTGATTTACCAATAAGGATCATCACTTCAGAATTATCTTTAAAACAATATGATATCATGACGTCACACTAAGTGAGCAATCAGTGATTTACCAATAAGGATCATCACTTCAGAATTTGTCTTTAAAACAATATAAAATTTGATATCATGACGTCGCACTAAGTGAACAATTGATGATTTACCAATAGGGATCCTCACTTCAGAATTATCTTTCGAACAATACATAATATGA